TAGTCTGAAAGAACACAGGATTCTCCCTTTTGTTTTTGTTTTTTTAATTCCACGCGGACGGAGTCGCGGGCGAAAGCTGATAGTTATGTACCCTTAATTAATCACTAGAGTATATGCAACATTCAGAGACTTACTCTTAAGTAGTTTAGTATGAGAAATTCGAATAGTTGTTGTTTTTGGAGGCAGTGAGACATATTGAGAGTTTTATATTGATGTTTTGATCTATGTCCGCGCATTGTAATTTTTATTATTTTACTAGATTTCGCCCCCGACTCCGTACGCGTAGAATTAAAAAAAACACAAAACTAAGTATCATATGTGTTTTTCCAGACTATCCTCTACATCTATGCCAAATTTCTTCGAGATCCATTCAGCAGTTTAGGCTATAGACTAACAAACATCCGTACATTTTAGCTTTCGTATATTTTTAGTAAAAAGTAAAATTCCAATTTCTTTCTACCACAACTAAGAAACAGATACGTAGTTAAGTAGTAATAAACATCCATCCATCCAATTGGAGTTCCAAAACAGCTTTCCCGATGTAAAAATTGCTCACTAATGAAGAACCCAGTCCAAAAGAACATCTAGGCTACTTACTAAGTTTTTTTATTAATTCCGTGCTGACGAAGTTGCGGGCAAAAACTACTTCATACAGTTAGCAATCGAAATTATAAAATGTATGAATTGGAATAAACGAGATAAGAGTGACAGGACCTTGCAAAACATTTATTTAAATAATTAAGTAAGCATATTATCACCAGGTCAACAACCAACAACCCAAGCGTCCATGTTCGGTACTAGCGGCGGCAGTTTCAGTGCTCCAGCTACTGGCCAGCCACTGGGCAGCCCGCAAGCCAGTGCCTTTGCTGGCGAAGCCAAGTCTGTCTTCGGTACTCCTCAGCAACAAACTGGTTAGTATCAAACAGGGCATCTAAGTTATGATAGCTCATAGCTTCTGTCTCTTTCCCACCAATGGATTAGTAGATATTTCTCTTTCATCTGTGTTAATCGACTACACTTATTTCTTTTTTTTTGTTAATTTTAATAAGTGTTTGTGTTTTATATATTTTTTTTCTTTTAGCACCAGCTTTTGGCGGTTCACCGGTATTCGGTTCAAAGCCAGTTTTTGGACAATCTGCAAGGTGATTTTTTTTTACGATTTTAACATCTACTTGGCTTGTTCCTGTAATTACACAAAATAAAATTTTATTTACATTAATCTGTACCAATCAATATAAAGAAAGATTTGTATTTTTGTATATACTGAAATAGCTCAAATACTACTGGGCCGATTTCAAAAATTCTTTCACGATTAAAAAGCTACGTTATCAGTTAGTAACATAGGCTATATTTATTGTTTTTTTTATCGCGAACGAAGTCACGAGCAACAGTATATCATAGTGAAGTTCGTTTGTCTGTAGTTTCGGTTCGTCTGCAAGTTTCGGTGGTTTTGGTGGTTTAAACAAGAGCCCTACTGGTTTCGGGGCGCCGGCGACTTTCGGCGGCGCTCCCGCATTCGGAGCCCCGGCCTTCGGTAGCACGTCGCCAGTGTTCGGAGGTGCAGCCCCAACTCCTGGTAAGTTACCAAATCTTAGATCTCAATCTATATTGTTTATTTAACCTTCCTTATCTTTCCTAGAATGTCAGAATTCCTAACCTTATAACTTACTAATGTTAGGGGAAGCCTGAATAGACGAATGTTTGTTAGAAGGTGTCTCCTAAACGGATGAACAGATCTCCATTAAATTTGACACAGATGTAGAACAAAATCTGAATATAGGTATCGAAGGTAAAAAATAAGACTAGGGTCTTTTTTTACATTTCACAAAACCGGAGTCGCAGACTAAATCTTATTTAAAATAATGAAAACAAATATAGTTTAAAACTTATGTTAAATGTTCTACAGGCTTTCATATTATAAATGCGAAACTTTAGATGGATGAATGGATGGATGGATGTTTGTTAGAGTTTGGAGCCTTAAACGGCTGAACGGATTTGGATGTAATTTAACATAAATGTAGAACATAGTCTGAAACAATACTTTAATTTTTTATTTCCACGCGGACGAAGTCGAAAATATATGTTGAATGTTCTATAGGCTTTAGTTCACCGACACAATCGAACTCTACATTCGAAACGTTGGCCAGTCAGAACACGATCACGTTCGGCAACCTGGCGCAGTCCGCGCACCACAACCAGCCGCAGCCCAGCTTTAATACGTAAGTCTATTTAAATTAAGATTATTCCTAACCGTCCCCCTCTCTGTCCCCGCGTCAGAATAAAATGTTTTATCCGTCCCACCTTTTAGTCCTACTATCAACATAAGGTGACAGAACCGTTATGGAATAAAGTAAGTTCCAACCGTTTCGTCGCAAAAGGTCGGATGGATGGGACTTTTTATTCTCATCTGTCTCCACATTAGAATAAAAAGTTTCATCTGTCCCGCCTTTAGTCCCACTAAGTAAAATAAGTTCCAACTTTGCCTAAGATAGATGTCTTCATCTATGCCTTGGATAGTCTGCATAAACACATAGGCTATTAACGTTTTTTTTTTTAATTTCACGCGGATGGTGTCGCTGGAAAAGCTAGTTATATTATGTTTGAAACGATAGGCTTTGTTTAAAACCTCTATAATAATGTTATTTTCAGGTCGCCATCATTCACTGGTTGGCGCGGTTGATTTCACTACAAGAAGGGTGCGACACGGATGATTAATAAATATTCTATTGTATTTCTTTCTATTTTAAATATAATACAGTGCGAGTGACACTTTAATACACTCAGAGTCGTTAAATGGTCACTAAGGGAGTGATAGTGCAGATTTAAGATGCAATATCTAAGGACATCGAGTCTCGAGTCGCAGTTTTAGGTCACTTAGCAGTCCCTTAGTGTGGATCTCTCAAAGTAAATCCATCCTATAAATAACCATTAGTGACCATTTTATGTCTTAAGCATTTAACTTTTTGTAGTGATGTAGTTTTCGTAGAATTTTTCATGTTTAAAATATTATTGCATAAATGTATTGACTTATATTCTTCTTTTCTTAAATATAAAAAAGCTTAAGTAAAAATCATGAATGATAATAATAATATTCAATATGTTATAAACACACACACTTATGTTGTAAACATTAAAAGACTTTCTTTATATTTATTACTTCGTCTTTAATATTCTTTCGGTTCTTTTTAGACATACATATTTTACTAAAGTGACATTTTGACATACTAAATTACACTTATATATTACAGCCCATATATATTAATTGTAGATCAAACCTTATCAATTCACAACACACTCCGGGGGGGCGTACAAAGTTTAAAATCAATAAAATAATTTATAACAAATATCAAACAAGTAATGTGCTATAAAAATAAGAAAGAGCAATCAAAAACGAAAGTGAAAGTCAAAACTTCTGTCAATCTCTATAATTAAAATAAGAATCATTGACATCATTATTTCAGTTCGTAGATCTAGTCATCGAATGCTCTATCCAATATTCATCTCAGCACGTCTTTTACCAGCCTTATCATTCACTCTCACCACCCTACCCACTAGGGAACAGCTGGTGCCGAAAACCTTTGTATGTAGTTTTTCAATATATACTTTAACGTATAATTGTGAAAATTCATTCGCAACAATCTAATGAAAATATTTTTTGCCCTCGCATACTCGTGTGAAAGGTTAATTTTCAATTTCGGACACATCATAATCTTTTCTTGAGCAAATTGTACTTTCAATTACATTAATTATTTAAAAAGTGTAATGGAAGTTGATTAAAGTAATAAAATAACTATTGTATTATTTTCCACCTTACTTCCCTTATTATTGTAATTTTTAGTGGCATTAAAACACGTACGTAAATTTCGTTTCAAAATTAGGCTGTACAATTATAAATATAGATTACTTGCTAATAGAGTAACGTGTCTATGAGTAAAAGAATTTTGAAAATCGAACGAGTAAATAATTGAAACCAGAACAAACATCTTTTACTTCGAATTTCTACTTTCCAACCGACATTTTCTGCAAAAATATGCAAATTCAATCATAAAAACCCGCTTGCGAAACTGGACTATCGTAACCCGTTCGCGTCGCGTTGAATAAGAAAATATGAACTACGGAAATATATTATTTCATTAGACTGAAGTTGATCGAGTTTTTTTAAGTTGTCTCGTTACGAAGTCGGATCGGATGTGAACCCGCTCGCTTGCTCCGTTAGCGAGTTATCTGTAATGAGTCCGACAAAAACTTGGGGCATTGCTAAAGTTTAACATTTCTCGCCCCGTTCTTCCCTAATGAGCATTCGGAGAAATTATCGCACTGGGAAAGTACGAGTTTGTCTTTCCTGAATGAATTTAGCGAATCTTTGTGAATTAATAAAAGGGTCGACTGTTTTATACTTCTTGGAATTTAATTAGTAATAAATGTTTTATTACATATTAAATTACAATTACAAATTAAAAAAAAATGAATATCATAGACAAAAAAAATATGTAAAGCATTTTAAACATACGAATTTTCTACAAAAAAGCAAATATATAAGTTTTATTTTAAACATAACTTTTTTTTATCTGTTGTCTAAATGATATTGACAACCATAATTTAAAATAACACAATGAATTCAAGATTTATTGTGAGCATAAATACAATTTGTGATATGGCACGGCTTTGTTTTATTGCCCTTTGTATTGGCCACTTTATCTTGAGAGCTACATTCGTCTTTATGACTTTCGTTTGTGCTTCATGTTTAGTAACTGCTCGGGTATTAATTGTATTGTATTCTCGCCTACATTTAATATGTATTTCTCGGCATTTTCTGTTATATCATGTTAATAGACTATAATTAAGTGTACTTATCAACGTAATATTATGAAAGATTACGAAGCGTAGTACCGATAAAGTTATAAATAATTCGTATTAAATATTGAAAAAATCGTTTAACGTATACATGACTTGAATTTTCGATGCATGATACACTAGTATATTGAATCTAGTATCTAGAACATCTAACATAGTAAGCTACGAGAAAACTATTTTTAAACATTTTTATGTCGGCAAGACCGCGTTTCTATCGAAACTCTGAAACGGTGCAAAAAGTTTCAAATATATGCCTGCTCCATTTTTGAAATTTATGGTCTCTAAGATATTTACAGCTAATATCGTAATGTTGAAATCTAAGAAAGTTCAAGTAACCGCAATTAAACGTATCTCGTATTGTTTGTTGTAAATGTTCGCATTCGTCTCGGGTGCAATTAGTGCTAGTAGCCCGCATTCGAAGAGATTGAACACATTTACCGCAAACGAAGCTTCCTAAATGGGTGCACACCTCGCGATAAATTGTCCTATCTTACGACGGTACAAAAGTGTACCTTCTAGTATATCTTCGAGAACTAGATTAGGTAATTAAAGAGACAGAATTCTTCCAGCTCTGTACTGGGACAAAAAATACGGTACATTCATCAATCACACGTCACGGTAACCGCCTCGGCTTTTTGTTACAAGCGAACAACACAATTAGAGCTTTACGTATAGTTACGTAAGTAGTTAGTTATCGATTATTTTTAATTAATGTGAATAACTAACACCCATTGAAGTTAGCAGCCTACTTTGAAATCTACAAAAAACCAAGATATTTTAATTATAAACATATTCATGTATGTTATGCAATTGTCGAGTTATTTCATTATAACATAGATGGTGCTCGTATTAATTGGACGATACTAGTGACGACTTCAAAAGTATGAAGAGCATCGAGCGTACTCCATCACTTCGAGTGCCAGCAATTCAAATAAAATGTATTTTTGCTTTCTGAAATAAATGACTTGAATTTCGCAATGCATTGTACGTGCTCAAATGTGTTGCACTATTTGATAAATTAAATACATTTTTACATCGTTGTGACGATGTAAAAATTCAAACCATACTAGAAATGTTGGTTTACAATTTCTTAGGCAACAGCACTGGAATGGAAACTATCCGGAAATTAAACCGAAATAGCGCAGCTGATATACACTTAGTGAAGCCGAAGTGTTATGTGTTCGATACATGTATGGGTAGGTACGCATTGTATTTCGTAATGGAACATTCCGATATATTTGCCTTGCGCTCGTATACATAGCGTTGATTGACTAGTAAAGTAGAATATAGGCTTAGGAATTGAAATCAAAGGTTGTGTCATACATGATCTTTTGTGATGTGGGGGAGATCTTAATAGAAAAAATAATAATATCCATTGTTATCAATAAATTAATACGATTTACATTTTTTTTTACTTACAATTTAGCATTTTAAGTTTATCTGTGCAAGTTATTCGTGATTCAAAAACGAATCATCAATGTCAAAATCAATTGACAGTTTTCAAAGTTGACAGATACAACTTGTGAATCATAAGCACAACATTGCTTGTAAAATAAAAATAACTTGTACTAAATAATACTCTTACTGGAATCATGATATTGTGGTGGGGCTAACAGTGTCTCTTCTGTTTATCCCTTTTCGTTCAAACTCAACATGCTACGATTCGTCTTGTTTCTCTTATTTTGCTATTATACTGAAACTTGTGGTTCTGATGAGGCCAAAGGAGATAAAGTGGTGACCGTGGATTGCTCTACATTACGCTTGGGTCAGTATATATGCCCTGACCCTAGTATAGATCAGATAGACACGGAAACGCAACAGTATAAAGGCTGCACAAAGGGTAAAACAGTTCCTTCAGAAGGTGAAGCTGATGGTAAGTCAATTGAACCTTGAACATTATTGCTATCACTGCTTTCAAAAATATTGACTGAGGATTCACATAATAGTAAAATTTAATGATTAATAGTATTAATTGTACAAAATTGTTGCAGTTCAATGTATAGCAGCTGATGGTATTATATGCACTGAAACCAACAATTCTACTTTTACTAGAAAAATGCCCTGCAAATGGACGTAAGTGAGACTTTATTACAGTGATGTTAGAAAAATTTTAATTTTTAATCTAAATTGATAAAATATCCATGAAAATCATTTAAGATACTAAACTTGACAACAAAAGCCTTAGAATTAATTTTAGGTATAATCCATTAAAAAATGTTTTGTTTTATGAGAATGTTTATTTTTAGGAATGGCTACTCCCTAGAAATAGCTTTACTGCTGTCAGTCTTCTTAGGGATGTTTGGTTTGGACAGATTCTACTTAGGCTATCCTGGTATTGGTTTGGCCAAACTCTGCACACTGGGATTTATGTTTTTAGGTCAACTATTAGATATCATTTTAATTGCAGCCCAGGTATGTATTTGAAAATGACTTGCATAATTCTATTTATCAATTTTACTGAAAGAGCCGTTTTTAATTACTAAAGACTGTTTTTAAGCTGTAAGTGGCTTATTTAAAAAGCACTAGACCTTAATCTATCTAGAAAGGAGTAAACACTAAACTCTTAAGTTGGCATGGTTGTGTTCCTCATGGAGATCCCATTCCCCACTTTTTTAGCAATGTTGGTACCACTGTGGGGTTTTATTTGGTCTGATTCCGATATATTCCGACTCTAGCCCCCAATGAGTCGGAATATGCTTAGACATTCCCACTAAAAAAAACTTAATCAATCCACATATGTATATATGAATCTTGCTCATATTTTGATGAATTAAATGTAACTAAATAGACTACTACAAGTATATAAATTTAATATCTATTAAAAATGTATACTAAACTTACATCTTCTAGGTCGTAGGTCCATCCGATGGGTCAGCATTTGTCATACCGTACTACGGAGCTGGAGTAACTGTTATCCGAAGTGACAATGAGACATACCTTCTGCCACAAGCTGATTGGAACAATATTACCTGACAGTGGGGATTTATTACCTTTGAAGATGATGATTATGAATGGACTTAGTGTCTCAGTAAAGTGAAAATATTTTACGATTATACAACTGTTGTATATTTTTAAAATGTATATTGTAAATAATGATTAAAATAATTTCTTTAGGCTTATTATTATTGATTATTATAGAATAATAATAATGTAAACCTTCATACTTGAAATGCTGTTTTAAAATAACCAAAAATTAATAATAGATTTTTGTGTCTTATAATATCACAACTAAATTAAACAACAATTTTACTTGATGATACTCGTTTTTGGGTTTAAATGTAGTCAATATTAGGCTGAGCGTAGTGTATTGTAGATCTCAAAGATAATGGTATAATTAGAATGTAATTAATACAAACTGTTTTTTACATAATCTGAAACATGGATATTCATATTTAGAATCATGTGAAAATCTTGTACATATAAGTGTGCGCGAATACTTGAAACTAAACTATGGCACAACTGTGTAGTCTTGCTTTGATTCCTACAAGCTAATACTGAAGCGTACACTACTCATTGCTTAGTTGTGCAACTAAACAGTTGAATTAGCTGCAAAATAATCACCAATCGCACAACAATTGTGTGATGGCTTAGTCAAAACTGTGCTATGAAAAGTACTGGCGATATTTTAGGAATGTAAAATGAAATTCATAATGTAATAACATTGTTTATTTACATAAATAAATAACATTAAACTATGACTTTGTCGTTTCTTTATCTGTTACCGCTGGTTGTGTTTCTTGGATAGCTATGTCCGCTGGTGGGGCTGTTAATGTGAATATGACTGGTACATCTGATAGCACTGGGTTGCCGTTCTTCTCTAATAACCTTATCCATGATAGGAGAGAATCTCTTGATGATGTTCCTGCAAAAGACAATAAATAACATTCTAGTTAAAATGCTATAAGCTTTCTTTAAATGCTGAAAGTTCAATAACTATTATAATCAAATGAATGGTAAATTTGTTAGAACAGAAATACCATTCTTTTCAGGAAAATCTGAATAAACAAAAAACTTTTAATTATCTTACCTGTAGCACAAACAGCCACAATTGTCCCATCGTCTTGTTCATGTACTGTACATTTGACTGCTGGTAATGTAGTTTTTCCAATAAACCCTGGTATACCAGGCGGCTTTTCAATATTTGACACATCTAAAACAGTCAATCTATGAAGTAAAATGTTCTCCAATTAGTAATGCCAAAAAATAAAATGTAATAAACAATGACACGCCCAATATAAAGACCAGAGAATGACTGAAATAATTTTTAAACAAAATAACATCAAACTCACCATCTAAATCCCTATCATCTTTGTGTTCCGGTCTTGTCTTACCAAATAAGATGAAATAAGTAACAACTTGATCTCTCAAGTAGACTGAATATGGACCTTTGATGGTTAACGGTTCATCTGGAGGCTGTTCTTCAAGTAACACCTGCTGACTTCTGCTCTGAGCACTCACTATCCAGGTCTTATCTAAAGATGCTTCTATCTCTTCTGTCTGACACAAAACAATGGCTTTTTAATTTATACCATAAAAGCTTTCCACTGATAACACCAGTATAAATATGTTATAGCCTAATCATGTCATCACCTTGCCCTTATCCCTTATGGAGGGTCGGCACAGTATGTGCTGCTCTTCCATACATCTCTATGAGCCATCATATCTGAATCCACTCCTTTCTTAAGCATAACCTCTTTCACACAATCCATCCATACTTATGTTATAGCCTAATTATGTATACATAAATATTATCGATTTAATTTCTTTTTGTACTTTACACATTGATGTAATAGAGAAGCTTATTGAATCACCCTTGAGTTTTTACATTCTAAGTTAGGTTATGAAGGAGGATGACAATCCTATTGTATATCTATTACATAAATGTGTAAAGTACAAAAATAACAATGTCTTGTTTCATGTAGGTGTTTTACCAGTGGATATTCACAGTTATATTGTAATTAGAGTCAATGTTTTTATTGAAGTTGCTATGGGTAATATTCACTAATGTTAATTAACTTCATTTTCAAAACTGCACTGATATCTTAAAATGTTGAAGAATACAACTGGCTAATGGAAAAAAAATCTTTTAGAATTCCTTATGCGATGTTACTATTTTAATTGTTTATTTACAAATATAAAAGTGCAGTTACCTGCCATATACTTATTTTAGTGTCTGGATCCACTGATGTTATTCTCTGTATAGCTAACAGTGCTAATTCCATAGTATCATTTGGTAAATGTTCTGGTAAATACCATGGGCTGAGGTTTTTAAATTTAGGCATCCAGTACATCATTCTCCAAAATTTACGTAGTGGTATACCCCTTCTGCCAAATATATTCATAAGCATTTCTTCCATTTCTGAATCTGGCATTACACCTGTAATAAAAATTATTTAATTAATAAAAATACATGTTTTCAATATATTGATCAATCAATATATTAAAATCATGCATTTGTGTAGTAAAAAAGGAACAAGTTTTATATAAAGTAATGTGAATACCCAGGTATATTATTTTAGAAACTTAAAACTCACAAAATTCATTTGTCAAAACTAACATGTCTAGTTTTCCCGTTTAAAAAAATTAAACTAAAAAAGCAGTAAAAAAAAAA